TTTCTTCTGTTTTGTTGGGGTTTCCATCCTAGATGGATTTGGATTGTTCTTATAATCAAAACTAGAATCTAAGTTTCAGCCATGCTTTATTCAATCTCTAAGCTCTTACATCATGCCTTCAACTCACAAAAGTACATATCCTGTCACATGACAAACATCTACCTTAAGAGCAGACAACTCTGTTTTACTGAGAAGGAAAATATGGGAGATAACTCTTACTTAACAATGATTTTTAAGACCACAATATGAACTAATGATATCAATATGACATCCCCCTCTTTTCAAATTAAGAGTTCCCTTTTAAGTATCAGAACAGTACAAAGAAATTGAATAGAAAATGATATAAGTTCCTTGCATTCACTCGCACATTCATACTTAAATTGCAAACATGAAAAGCAAAACAAGAATAAGAAAAATCATGAACTTTGAAAGAAAGTAATGATGCTATCATTTTTGAAAAAAAAATATTATGAAGAACACACATGAACATATTTACACTTCAATCTATATAACTCGTAAACAACTACAAATGTTTATAATGTATATTATAATTCAAGCGCTAATTTAGGTGAACTGAATGAAAAGTACTGCTCCAACCCTTATACAATATCATGAATGCTATAAGTATAACATGATCCCTATATCAAATACAATATAATGAACATAACAAAATAATGTTTTGACAATACTACAAGAGTTAAATTTAAGGAATATGATATGCAAATTACTAGGTTTACCATCACAACAATTACCAATTAGGCTAAATTTTTTTTAACTATCTAGGAATTCATACAGAAACTCTACAATATTTCTTAATACTACCAGTTACTTGTAACTTATTATTGGATAGCAAATCTGGAACTACATTACATAAATGAACATCATTCTCAACATTAATCCATGTAGAATTAGAACCCTTTTGGTTACAAACTTCAACAAGAGCTTGTAAATGTCCATGCTTATATCTAGCTCGTTTGACTTCCATATAATTTGCTTTAGGAATATCAACAATACAATTAAATTGTTCCTCTATTTGATTATGTGACAATTTACATAATGAGGCAATGTTATTATTCTCAATTATATGCTGAGTATATTGAGCAACATTAATAGGCTGCGTAATCCGATTAACACAAGTATCATTAAATGTAGGTAGAATATTTCCCAACTCATCTGTGTATTCTGTATCAGAATAACAATTCACGATTGCACTAGCTTCCAAAGATTTTCCCAAACTGGCTTTTAAAGCATCAAGATGACTGATCCTTTTATTAGGCTCACCTGACCTTATAAAACAAGGTTTTAGACGATTAATTGAAAATACCTCAGTAAGAACTTTACCATCGAGAGTGGACAAAATATAATGAGTACGATCTAATATTTGATGAACGAATAATGGTCCACACCAATCAGCTTTGATCTTCTTTGAATTAGCTGTAAGCACTGATGACGATGGTTTAAAAACAAATACTAGTTGACCTAATGAATATATAGGATTTTTACTTAAGCTATGAGATATACTTGAATTCTGACAAGTTTGTTGTCTTTTCTGTAATGCTAATACAGTTGACGAAATAGCTTCAAATTTCTTCTTTAAATGAATCATATATTCTTCATATGAAGGAGCTACACTATCAAAAGACCAATTAAGAGAAGTTAAGTTTTTAGGCTCTTTGCCAAAAACCAACTCATAAGGACTAAAATTACCAAGTTGAGGTGAAACAAATGAATTGTAGGCATAACAACAAGTAGATATATATCTGACCCAATCAGTACCATACTGATTTAAATTGAATTTAAGAAGATTGGTTATTGACTGTATATGGCGTTCGACTAATAAACTACCATGATTAGCTACTGAAATTAATTTATGATCAATACCCAGAGTTGTACATAAAGTACTCACTAATGTACCAGTAAGTGATGAAGCTTGATCTGTTATAAGAACAGACGGTGGTCCAAAAATACAAATTATTTTCTGAATGATAGCTTCACATATGGTACCAGCGTCTAGTGTCTTTAAAGGAGCACAGATAATAAATCTGGTAATTTCATCACATACAACCATTATATGTTTAAATCCAGAAACTGAACTTGGCATAGATTTAAAATCTAAACTTAATCTGTCGAATGTACGATATTCAGTTGGTATGCGTGGATGATATATTCTAGTTTTATCTGTTTTACTCTTGAATTGTTGACATTTGAAACAAGAAGTTATATAAGATGAAATAGTTTCGAACATGTTAGGAAAATAAAATAGCTTTCTCATAGTGAGATAAGTTCGAACAATGCCCTGATGATGGCAAAGCTGACTATCATGATATACATTAATTAAACTATTACAAAGAGATTCTGGTATAGCCAACTGCAGAGTAAACTGGTCATTCGTGTGAATAATGAGGCGAAATAAGATAGAATCACAAAGAATATATTCTTCTGACTTAGTTTTGACAGATTTTGCAGATCTTCTATTAGAAGGCAGAATATCATGTTTAAGAAAGTCGTAAATCGATTTAAAATATGGAGAAGATTCTTGTTCTAAGCGTAATTTATTGGCATCTATTGATAAGTTGTAATCCCTGATAATCTTACGTTTAATAACTTTCATAAGTTTATCCAAGACTTGTTGTTTTGGGAAATTTTTCTGAACAATATTCTCACAATTATGAATGACAGGCTTTGGTGTAATACAAAGCTCAATAGGGATTTCTATATCCTCAGTATGATCAGTAGTTTTATCAACTAATCTAGGTTCATCAGTAATCTTCTTGGTTGGTTGAAATTTATCTAATGAAGAATTTCTTTTTGGTTTTGATGGTTTATTAGGAACTCTAATTGTGTGTGAATCTTTTACTGGTTTAGGAACTGGATCCTTTTTAGCAGAATGAACTTTAGAGGGATTGAAATCGGGAACTGAAATATTATGCCGCTTGGCATAATTCCTTGTAACTGGACGATTTGTCAAAGCAAATGCAGTAGGAACAACAGCATCAATCTCAGAATCATCCTCTAAAGGACTTCTTGAAAGAAAGTCGGCTAAAACTAACTCCGTACCTTTCATATAACCAATTTGGAAGGAATAATGAGATAACTTAAATAATAATTTCTTTAACCTATTAGTACATGGTTCACGTTTAGAATTTAACAGTTGAACAATGGCTGAATGGTCAACAAATGCATCAAACTCAACACCCTTTAAAAGATACTGGAAATTAGTGACATTAATTAATAATCCGAACAACTCTAACTCTGTGACGCTATAACGTTCACAAGCTTTAGGTAACCTTTTAGAATAATAACCTAACAATCTCTCTGTACCATCAATAATCTGAGTAAGATAAGATCCTGTGGCTGTTCTAGAAGTGTCACTATATAATCTAAATCTACCATCACCTGAAGGAGTAAACAACACAGGTGGCTGAACAAGTAAAGATTTAACTTCTTCAAAAGCTGATTCTTGAGCATCAGTCCATTCGAATTTAGCTTTCTTATTAGATATTTTATGTAGAGGTTGAAGTATAAGTTGAAGTTTTGGCAGGAAATTTGAAACATAATTAACAGCACCGATGAATCTACGAACTTCTCTTGTAGATTTTGGACGAACTAAGTTACGAATTGATCGACAACGATCTGATAAAGGTTGAATAGTGACTAAACCATCTGTGTTAACCTCAAGTTTATGACCCATATAAACTACATTATCCCTGAAGAAAGAACATTTCTTGGACGAAATCTTTAAACCATTACTGATAAGAGCTTGAAATATCAAACTTAAATGTTGTGTATGTGATTGACTATCTTTACTGTACACAATGATATCATCATGATGGGCGAT